CCTTTTCTTCAAAATAAATATAGGGGGCCAGGGATATAGCTCAGCGGTACAGCACCTGCCTGGCAAGTGCAAGGTCTGAGTTCAATTTCTGGTACCAAAACAAAAATAAATAATTACAAGGATTGGTGATATAACATGTGCAAGGTCCTGAGTTTGAATTCTCAGCACTTTAGGAATTACACTGAGTTAAATTTTTAAAATACACCTGTAATCCCAGCACTCTGAGAGGCTGAGGCAGGAGAACACAAGCTGAAGCTCAACCTGGGCAACAAGTGACTTAGCAAGATCCTATCTCAAAAAACAGCTGAGAATGTAGCTCAGTGCAGAGGCCCTCAGTTCAGTCTCCAGTACCTGCAAAAAATAAAAGCTAACAACTTTTAATGTCCTCAAAGGCCATATTAAGTGTTGCTATTTCTTAACCATAGTGCAAAAATAGTGGTGGGTTACATTGCTGGGGGCTTTTCATGAATTAAGGCACAGTGCCTACTGTACCAGTACTTTCTGTATTCCTCCCCACCCCAGACCTGCAGAGGGAGAAAAGCCTGAAATGTTCAGGATCCCCCCACCAGCTACTGCTGTATTGGCCTTGTAATGCAGGGGCTTCTGCATGGGAGAGCTGAACTGCATTTCCAGCCCTTTTATTATCTTTATTTGGGATGGGGTCTTGCTTTGGCAAGCATTCTTACAGACAAAAAAACTAGATGGCTTCTGGAACTCAATGGCCCCAGATCATGGAGTTAATGACCAGCCTAAAGTATAGCATCTTGCACATTTTATCTGGCACACAGCAATGATAAGATTGACAGCATGAACCATGGAAATAATTTTTGTGTATTCCTTCTATAGAAAAGTGGTCAGGCAAGCTCAGAGACAAAATCCTTAAACCACTGGATGGACCCAGAACGGAAGAAGAATCTTTTTTTTTTTTTTCTGTCTTTTTTGAGACAGAGTCTCGCTGTGCAGTTCAGGCTGGCCTTGAGCTCACATTGTAGCCAGGCTAGTCTTGAACTCACAGTGATCCTCCTGCCTCAGCCTCCCAAGTGCTGGGATTACAGGCGTGTACCATCACTCCCGGTGGGGAATCTGAAGTTAAAGGAAAGAACGGGCCAGTGTACTGCCCGCTGTGCACTTCACTCCCCTCCTGAACAGCTCACACTGAACATATCCAAAGAAAGCACAGAGAGCAGATTAGTCCCATAGAACTGTGAAGCGATAAAGAATCAAACTCTTAGAAGTGAACAAGTTGGGCCTGATGCCTGAAAGGGGGGCCTCAGGGCTGTGCACAAGCTCAAAGCCTGGAAAAGGCCCAGCAGAGGATACTTCTGGGGTTTTTCAACAGCTGGCTATTAGCATTTTGTGTGGAATTTTTTGCACATTGTGGGATATTTACCACCCCAACTGTCCACCCACAAAATGCTGCTAAATTCCTGTCACTGTGTCCACTATACATGTCCTGCACATTTTAAGTGTCCACTAGGGGGTGGTATCACCCTGATTACCACTATCACATATTTCCTAATAAACACACTTTCTAGTGAATGTAGTAGGATACAATTCAGAGATCATAATTGATGCTCCTCTTCTTCCCAGGTTTTGGGTTCCCTGCTCCACTACCAGGCCTCTCTTACTACCCTTTGACGTAATAGAATTCATTACTTCGAGGTTGGGGAGACATAGCCAAAAGCAAAGTCACCTATGTTCCTGAAGGGGATTTTAAAACCAAAGGAGAATCAGTCGGCTTTTTGTAGTAAGGGCCAGATGTTTTGAAAGAGAAAACAAATTTTTTAAGCTCAAAGTGAATAAGAGCTTGGAGGACTCAGAGTATAGTGGTTATACCATAAATGTAAGTTGTACAGTTGGAAGCTGTGTAGTAGACCCAGAAGGAAATAAGAGCTCAGCCCCTGGAAGGAGGAAGACAGTCTGAAGGCATTTGACCAGAATTTAGCAGGCTGGAGAGGATGGCCCCTCTGTCCACTCCCCTGAGTCAGCTGAGAGGACAAGCAGTTCCCTGGGGGACACGGAGGCCTTTAGAGCAGAGAGGGTCACCACTTAGTTCAGTAGGCCCCATTGACAAGGCCTCTGGTCCCACACACTGGGGTAGGTGACAGTGACCATCTGCATGCCCTTTGGAATACTGAGTGCCCAAGAGTTTCCTGAGTTTCCCTCCACAGCAGCTTTCTCAGTGCCGCCAGCAACCCAGAAGTAGCTGGAAGTAAGAGGGTGGCAGGGGCCTGTGGTCAGGGAGGAGCTAGCCATGCGCTGACATGGACAGCAGGAAGAGACCCAAGTCAGTACACCCTGGGCAGGCTGCCTCTGAGCTCAGGACAACATGGAAATCTTCCAAGAAAAAGAAGATGGGGAGGAGTAGGAAGGAGAGGGAGGAGGAGAGGGGTTGAATTTAAGCTTGCAAAAAGTGCAAAGTTCAACCAGAAGGTGAAGTTATGGGGCTCTTGAGTAGAAAGTGGACTTAGCGACTATGTATGAGGAGGATACAGCCCATAGCATCAATGATCAGCATGCTGGTGCGTGTTCACAGAGGCCCATGTGTCAGGGTTGGACTGTAGGCTGGTGTTCTTGGGAGGTGCTGTGGACCTTCAAAAGGAGGGGACTGTGGGAGGCCTTTAGGTCATTGGGGGTATGCCCCAGAGGGACCCCAGGCCCTTCCTCTGTCTTTTTTTGCTCCCTGGCCATTAGGTAAGCCATTTGTTCCACTAAACATTCCCTGTCATTGCTATCTGCCACCACCATCAGAGACCTAAAAGCAGTAGGTCTACCTAGTCATAGACTGGAATTTCTAAAACTGTGAGCCAAGATAAATCTTTTCTCTTTATAAGTTATTTATCTCTGGTATTTTGTTACAGTGACAGAAGGCTGACTGACACATCCCATCCTTAAGTTTGCAGGAGGCTCCTAGGGGCCATAGATCAGCTCTTCACTGTGTTTAGAGTTATTCATGTAGTTTGGATGCGTATGCATTGAGAAATGATTATTCCTTTTACTTCTGTGATAGTAAGTATGGCTGAAACAGATCATAACAGTAGAGACTGAAGATTGCTGTTATCCACAAAATACTTTAAGCTATAACTAGGTCCATTTTAAAATCTCTGATAGATTTATTCTCTCTTTTGTGCAAGTATAATTTTAAATTAACTGTCACTAGGAAAAGAACAAAAGCTTAGACGTTAGATAGTGTCCTTGAAATCCTCTCCAAACTATCATAATTCCTTTTTTTCTTTTCTTTTGGTACCAGGAATCAAACTCAGGACCTTGTGCTTTTGCCAGGCAGGCACTGTGCCACTGAGCTGTATTGTATCCCCGCCCTATCATAAATCCTAAACCGAGAACCATCGTGTAAATTTGAAGAGAAATTCCATCTTAGATTTAACTGATTGTCTAGGAGCAAGTAACTTTTATTTTTCTTCTTTTTCCTTGGAGAGGGCTTTTAGTTTTGGTTTGGGATTTTTTGTTTTTAATGTAATGCTATTAATATTCAGATTTTAAATTGAATAAATATACTGTGGACATGTCTTGGGAGATAAAACCCAAATGGACATTCCTTTTATATCACTCCAAACTAAGACTAGAATTTAGCTGCTTGTTTTATATGGCGAGCTCACTTTTATTTTAGTAATTTCTATTTTTCTCTCTCCCTGGAAAAGAATAGAATTCTTTTCTCAAATAATACAAAGTAGTTTGGAAAATACACACACACACAGAGAATCAGCTCTGTCCCATTTTCCTGGGTCTGTTTCTGACAAATTCTGTTCTATATTGCAAAAGAGTAATGTTCTCATATTGTGACTATGTTTTCACACACAGCTTCATAACCAAAGTCTTGTGAAATTTCATGTCCTCATTATTACATATGTGAGTTATTTAAGCACCTTGCCTTAACTCAAAACTAAATGGATTTTAAAAAGAATGTGCTAAAGTCAACTTGTTTTATTGCATAAATTACACATTTTGTGGTTGAGTTTTATTACTTGATTATGAAAAGAATCTACAAGTTTGCCTTTCAGGTCATTTTGGATAATCTAGTAGTTTATTCCGTGGTTGAGGGCTTTCTGTTCTGGTTTTTGTTTCTTTGTTTTACTTTTCAGTGAAAATGAGTTGGTAGCTCAGAAGGTATCTACGCTCAGTTATGGAAGGAATGAGAGATGTGATTTTTCTTTGTTTTTAAAGACAGGATCTCACTAAGTTGCCCAGATTGGCCTTGAACTTGTGATTCCCCTGCCTACCCTCCCTGATATTTGGGATGACAGACACCACTTTGCCTTTCTCTTTCTTAGACTTTTTTGGCAACTTAATGTATCCTCTGAGTATGGGCTGAATAGAAGAAAAAGTGCTGTTAATTTAAATTTTCTTTCCTTCTTTTGATCCCCTCTTTAGGTAACTAACTAGAAAAATTTTTTCCCCACTTGGTGTTGAACTCAAGGCCCTTATACTGAGCTGCACCCTTATCCCTTTTTTATTTATTTATTTAAAAATTTTGTTTTCCTTTTTATTTTTTTGAGACAGAGTCTCATTAAGTTGCTAAATTGCCCAGGCTGAACTCAAACTTGTGATCCTGCTTCTCAGTCTCCTCAGGTGCTGGGATTACAGGTGTGTGCCACTGTACTTGGCTCTGAGAACTAAAATTCAAAGTCAACATGTAAAATCCAAGAAAAATACAAACTAAAAACAGAGTACTAGGCACAGGGCAGGACAAGGAACTTATATCTTGCATTTGTAACTACTGTTTCAAACAAGAAAAAACCGATAAGAAGCTCTTGAGAAACTCTTATCAGTCATTGCAGAAAGTAGCTCAACCCAGCCTAATCTGGGAGAGACTTCAAGGGTTAAATTCCTGAAAGCATTAGGAGATTTTCTTTTCCTATTTGTTAAGCATGCTGGAAAAGAATGATTTTGTTAAAATAAATTCCGTTAAAATACCTCTGGATGTATGTGAAATGCTCTGAGTGGATTTGCTGCCTGCAGAGGAGGTGGCTGCCTAAGCGGACATGGCAGACGGCTGTAGGAAGTGTTGGTGAGCATGGTCTCTAATTCTGGTTAGTGAACTCCTAGCAGGCTTGCTGATGAGAAGTAGGGCTCTTCCAGGCTTGTTCCACTCTCAGTCAAGACCACCTCTGTGGGATTCCTATGGGACAACTGCTGTGAATATTTTGATGCATCTCCTGCCAGTCTTGGGCTCTTTCCATATACTTTTTAATTTGCACAGTTGGTCTTGTAGTGGACTTGCTGGCTCATACATTTTTTTTTTTTTTTTACTGACAATGTGTGTTTCTGTTTTAGTCACTTATTGCTCAGACAAAAATACCCAACACCCAAAGTTAAAGGAGAAAAAGTTTATTTGGTTTATAGTTTGTAGAGGTTTCAGTCCATAATCGACTGGCTCTAGGACAGGGTGGCATTGCAGAGGAGAAATATTTCATTGCAGGCAGAAGACAGCAAAAGCAAGCAAGGGACAGTCACAACTCTTTCTGCCCCTTTTATCTTATCCAAACTACTTAGGGCAGGTAGCACTTAATCCCAGTGCCCTTGATCCTGGCATTGCACCATGAATCACTTCCAGTGTCACACACCCTGGATCCAGCCATCTCTGAGAAAGCACCACCTGTGACTGCATGAGGCCTTGGGGGACATGTAGACACAAGCCATAATAGTTTGATTCTTTTGAAAACATATTCAACCTCATAAGATTATCTACTATCTATCTATTGGGACCACAGATGTGGTTTCCTGTTGTTGTTAGATATTTAGGCTATTTCTAATTTTTGCCCGTTACAAATACAGTTGCGATCAACATCCTTGAACTTGAATTTTTGGCCATCTCCGGATCATTTCCTAAAGATAAATTCTTAGATGTAATACTACTTGGTCAAAAGGCAAATACTTTTACATGATGACCTGTGCTACTTCCACCCTCAGATAACAAGTGGAAGCAATCTGGTGCATGTTAGTGCACTTTCTGACAAGTCAGTGTATGTACAAAATGCATGTTTATATAACCCTTAAAAAGGTTGGACCGGGTGTGGTGTTGCAAGCCTGTAATCCTAGCACTCAGGAGGCTGAGGCAGGAGGATCGTTGCCAGTTTGAGACCAGCCTGGGCTACAAAGTGAGCTCCAGGCCAGCCTGAACTGCATAGCGAGACTCTCTCTCAAAAAGATGGAAAAAAAATAAAGCTTGGTTCTGGGGGGTGTTAAAGGACTTTAGGCAGAGGGATGATGTGATCTGGCTTTATTTCCATTTTAGAAGTGTCCCTCTGACTGCTTCGCTGCAAATATGGACTGCAGAGAGCAATAACAGAAGCAGGAGTCTACTGCTGTCACCAGAAGTGAGATAGCTGCTTGGTGGCCGTGAACTGTGCTCAGATTCAGGTTGTTTTTGCAGAGCAATGGATTAGTTATGGGGACTGAGGGAATGAGAAGAATGCAGATTCGCTCCAAGTCTTTTAGACCTTAGCAACTGGAAGGATGGCGTTGACATCAAGTAACAAGGGGAGGGCTGACAGTGGGATAGTCTTAGGGAGACAGACTATAAATTCGGTTTGGAGAGCATAGTTTGAGATGTCCATTAAGAATCCAAGTGGAGAAGACCCAGGTGTAGTGGCTCAGACCTGTAATTCCAGCTCTGGGGAGACTGAGGCAGGAGGATCGCTATGAGTTTGGGGTCACCCTGGGTAGACAGTGAGTTCAAGGGCAGCCTGAACTGCACAGCAAGACCTTGTCTCAAAAAACAAAGACTCGGGGCTGGGGATTTAGCTCAGCGGCAAAAGCGCCTTCCTGGCAAGCGCAAGGTCGTGAGTTCGGTTCCCGGTACCGGAGAAAAACCAAAAAAAAAAAAAAAAAAAAATCAAAAAACAAAGACTCCAAGTGGAGATGTTTACATGTCTGGAGTGCTGGAGTAAGCAGACAGGTGCTGGAAATACAATTTGAGGGGTCATCAGCATAGATGGCATTTAAAGCCAAGAGATTAGGTGAGGTTACAAAAGGAGACAGTGCAGACAGGAAAGAGGACAAAAGGCTGAGGAGGAGGATCAGCCCACTTGGATAGTACTTCTGTGTACTAGGCACTGCTGCTTGCACTTTGCGTTGTTTACTGCAGGCCGAATCCATTTAATCTTCAAAACAGATCAGCGGAGAGCACAGTCACGAGCTTCACTTCTAGCGTAGGAGTCAGAGGACCAGAAAGGTGGTCAGGAGATGGAATAACTTACGGTTTCATCAGATGAACTGATAAAATAACTCTTACCTGCCTTGTTGAATAATGCATACTGCTGTGAAAAGGTCATGTGAAATGTTTTTCGCATATGTTTTGTCCAGTATGTCTCAGAAATCTTAGAAGTACTGGAAAGCATTCCAGTTATATTTTAAAGAATCAGCGTGGGGCTGGGGATTTAGCTGAGTGGCACAGCACCTGCCTGGCAAGCGCAACGTCATGAGTTTGATTCCCAGTACTGGAAAAAAAAAAAAGAAGAAGAATCAGTGTGACTAATCTGTACACAGGTGCTTTTGTTTCCAGCTGACCACGCATTCTAGGAAGGAACACGGGAGAGTGAGAAAATGTGTCTGTTCAAAGGGGAGAAAAGGCAAGGCATCATTTATTCAATATTTCTGTTTTTGAGGGGCAAGGTAGTGCTGGGGATCAAACTCAAGGCCTCACACCTCATGTGCTCTACCACTGAGCCACATCCCCAGCTCAATACTTCCTACAAACATTGTATTCATTTTGCTTCCAGGCACCCCTTCCTCAGGAACTATGCATTCTCTAATTGTATTAGGGGTGTGAAAGCCACGTCACTACAGGGAAACTGTCCTCGCTCCTACCACCTCAGCCTATAATATATTCAGAGCTTCTCAACGGCACCCATGGCCACGATGCAGAAAGTGAACTTGCGCTGTGCTTGTCAACTTCTCCTCCTTGGTGAGCATGTCAGTATGAACAGGGAGTGGGAAGGGAGGGTTTGCAAAATGCTTTTTAACGCAGATCACTTGTTGGGAAGAGGACAAATGGAACTTGAGTCCAGAAGTCAAAATATCTTTGAGAATAGTGCTCCTTGAGAAGTCTTCCCGTGCCTTTGGCGGTTCCTCTAACTCAGGTTAAATACTATCATCTTAAATAAGGTCACTAGCAAGGTAGAACCAGAGAGGTATCTAAGAAAAATCAAAGTAACTGCAGAGGTATGTCTCCTACTGAAGGCAGAATGTGACATAACCCACAGATGTGTTCATGCCCCTCAACACGAGGAAGCACAATGACCCTTGAATAATAATACCAGGAAAGAGAATCCAGAGTGAGTTCAGAGGTGTGAAAAACAGTAAAAAGCTAAAAAGGATCCTTTTAAGGACATATTCACAGCAAGAACCAAAACAAGAAGACCCTAGGGAAGGTGATGTCATGCTAGAACAGTAACGGAGAAAGCAGAACTAGCCAAAGTCTCCTTTTTGCTATTCTTCTCTCAGTAACGACCTGCAGATGGCACGGGTAAAAGAGGCATGGTTAGGAGGAAGCCTAATCCGAGGAAGACAAGAAACAGGAGGAGAGGTTTTTGTGAACTTTGCTACTTTAATGAGTTTGGTTTTAGGCACAGGTAACTTACATCCTAAGGTATTTAGAGAAAATAAATTAGACTCTTACAGTTTAATGTTACCCATCTCACAGAGTAATTTTCTGAACTGAAAGTCAATGTAGACTCGTAGGAATGAATGTTGTCAAACTAAGTTTATATGGAAGTAAGTTACAAAACTTCATGTAGAGTACTGAACATTTAGGGACTCAGTAATCAACTTAAAGCCTAGGCTTTGTATCTTTTTTTCCCCAGTACTTGGGGGTTGAGTCCCTGCCCTTTGCACTGAGCTACAACCCTAGCCCTTTTGTATTTTGAGACAGGGCCTTGCTAAGTCCCTAAGTTGCCTGGCTAGGCTCAAACTTGCAATCCTTCTGCTTCAGCCTCCCAGAGTGCTGAGATTACAGGCATGCACTATAGACCCCACAACATTATATTGGAGCATTTCTGCTATGTCATTAAATATTTTTCTATACTATAATTTTAAATACTTACATATTGCTCAATTACATGAATATGTTCTAAATTCCTTAACACATTTACAATGGTCAAATTTAGACTGTTTAAAGGTTTTGGCTTTTGAAAATCATGCTAAGAGCCAGGCATAAGGGTAGTTTTGGCACCAGGGAGGCTGAGTCAGGAAGATCACTTGAGGCTAGTACTTTGAGACTAGCCTGGGTAACATAGTGAGATCTCATTTTAAAAAATATTAAACTGGGCACGGTGGCACAGGCCTGTAATCCCAGCCCTTGGGAGGTTTAGGCAGGAGGATCACCGCAAGTTCGAGGCCAGCCTGGGCTACAAAGTAAGCTCAAGGCTAGTCTGAACTGCATAGCAAGACCATGTCTCAAAAAGACAAAAAAAAAAGAAAAATTTTAAAAGTAAAAAAAGTTAGAATTATGGATCATTTTACACAAAACTTTTCAGTTTTTGGTTTTTTTGGGTTTTTTTTCCAGTACTAGGAGTCCAACTCAGAATCTCCCACTTGCCAGGCCGGCGCTGTGCCGCTGAGCTAAATCCCCAGCCCCCTAAAACCTTTCAAATTACAAAAAAAAGGTCAAGTTTTCAAATGAGGAATAAATGGGACCGGTGATATAGCTCAGTGGCTTAAGTGCCTGCCTGGCAAGTGTAAGGTCATGAGTTGGATTCCCGGTACCAAAGAAAAAACACAAAAAAACGAAGAATAAATGACTCAAATAACAGTCTTTTAATAAGTTTCAACAAAATTATTTCTAGAAAAAGGTACCTATTTGTGCTCTCACCAACAATACGAGTGCCTAGTTTTCCTTACTCCTATCAATACTGGAAGAACTTGATGGAAAAACTTTTTTGGAGATTGTTTTTTATCATGGCAAAATATGTATACAGAGGAACCCTGAAATTTGCAGGGATTACATTCCTATAGCACCTGAAAATTGTAAGAAGCCGCGATGTCAGATATGGACAGAAAAATGCCTAG